TCATAAAAGGGAAGGAATTTCACAAGTTTAAGTATATGAAAGGATAGGGAAATCTGTCATTTAATTATTTATAAAGAGCCTTTAAATAAGATATTTCGAACAGACGCGCCTTATGATGTATCATTTAATTTATCACATACTACATGAAAATGACTCGAAGAACTCCTTTTTGGGTGATTTATTCATTATACGGGCCAGTTATGAAAGCATCAGTGTGAAAGAGGTACCTTTTTTCAATTAAAGGTATAAAAAAGGGGTAACATTTCTGTCAAAATGGTATACAAAAGGGTAACGGGTTGGACTTAGTGGCGAAGCCTCTCTGTGTTAAACTTGGTAGAGTACGCCTCTCCCCCCTATCCTCCGGGTCGCTTACACTTTGAGCAAGCTACTTGATCTTCTTACTTACTTCCTTATTTACCTATTTATCTGTTTCGTCATTTCAGGCTTAATCTTTGACATGCTGAACTCGTACCACACTGCGTTCTACATCTGTGGAGCCACCACAACTCTTTCTTCTTGTCTGATGTTCCTGATACCGTGGCTCATGCCCAACCAACAGGGGGGTGTTTTCCGTCGAGATTCTTGCACGAGCCGTATAGAAAGCCTCCTTAGCTCGCAGCAATCCACACCGAGATCAAGAACACGGACGTTTTTCCTCGAGGACCGATCGGCCAAGAGCAGCAGTGGGGACAGTGAAGATGTTAGCACTTCCGCCACAGGAGAGATCAGCCTTTGCGAAGCAGACAGAATCGAAATGGAGTACCTCAGAAACTTTCGCTACGGTAGCGAGAATAGTGATGATCAAGACGCGGCCAAGACGTCCTTGTGCGCATCGAATAGCTTATCAATGGACACGAGCATAAATACTGCTATTAACTCTACCATGTCTCATCGTGGATCCATCACAAAGTTTCTGTTGCAGCAGCAGCTTCAGTCGCACTCCCGGACTTCGTCGCCGGTGTCGGGATCTCGTCGAGGCTCCTCGAACCAATCAGGTAGGAGCTCGCCCATGAGCTCGATGAGCAGTTATTATGGGGGCTTTATCAGGACATCATGCTCAAGCCTCGCTCCTAAGTCAAGTGGCTCAGGCAAGGATTCACGAGTGGAGTCAAGGCGGGTTTCCACTGAACATCCCGGGGGGTCTAACAGCGACGACTCGTCTGACGAGAATTCCGCAGAGCTTCACCCAGAAATAGCGCCGTCATGCGCCGAAAAGCTGCTCACCGATGGCGGCTCTCGACGTGGCTCTGGGGAGAGCACGGTCGTGGGTTCACGCTGGCAGTCTGGGCAGAGCACAGTGGTAATGGGCACTCCTAAGAACATGACCCCTAAGGTTAGCCGAGCAGGCGACTCTGCGCTGTGTCGCTCCATGAAGGACCCCGACATGCTTCACCTGCTGGCTGCTCGACTTTTACAAGCCACCCGCCATAGAGATGGAGACGTTGACGTGGAGGAGAGGGAATCTGTGGTTTAGCTCTCTCTCTACCAAGATACGTAGTTCAACAACCACACTCACAGGAAGCTCAGCCTTAAGGGGGGCCATCTTGTGAGCTTGGGCTCCTGTGCTGAACTTGAAACTTTTAAACCGGAATCTTACTTCGTCTCCCTTGCAGACGTTCTTTTAGCTCGCTACGAAAATGTCTAAGGAGGCTAGGTATTACACGCTTTTTCTTGACACAAATCGTTCAAGGTGTATTAATTAATTAATTAATTAGTTAGTTAATTAATTAACTAATTAATATTCAGCCATAACTAGCAGTTAAATCTGGGTTTGCTGTTCTAATTCTAATAGTAATAGTCATAATCATAGTGTTTCTAAATTAAAAGTAATTTTTTGTTTATTGAACCAATGTAACAGTCTTAAGGAATAAGCTCAATAGTAACTTGTTTTCGTCTAATGATTTTGTGCACAAAGTCAAGGAGTTTTATACATAGCCACGCAAAGGATCTGTTCATTAAAATATCTGAACCCCTGGTCTGGGTTGTTCAGCCCGATCACGAGCTAACCCAGGATTAATTAGCGAAAATTTTGATTTAAGTTTTGTCAGTTTTCGGTGAAGTTTTCTGCTTACAATGTTTGCTCTTCAGTTTTGAATTTAAATAGTTTCAAACTACACAAAACATAGGCAGAGACAAACATTCTTTTTACAAGAAAAATTAATACTTGGGTTACCTTTTAATCCTGGTAGCGTTAACCGGCTTTCAAACGACTCGGCCCAGATCCCAGGTGATATTTTACTCCTAGAAAACCCGTGATCGCTGGCTCTAAGCCGGAATCTGGGTCTGTTCCCTGGGTTTAAATTGTTTTTTTAACAACAACAACAACAACAACAACAGCAACAACTAGCTTTATACATACAGAGTTGTAAAAGCTTTTGTAAACTAAAACTAAAACAATAATGATAACCGTGTTGGTGAGCACATAATATACTTTGATATAGCAATCAAGCTACATCGGTTTGATTTGAAAGAAAAAATATTGTAGATTAAAGCAAGATGAAATGAATTTTGCTAATTGAATATTAACATGATTCGTAAAAGTCATAAGTTCGCCGATGACTTGTAACGAAGATAATTGTTTAAAAGTCGCAACGATATTTTCTATTTTTCTTTAAAATTCATCTCTTAGAATAAAGTATTTAATGCAAGACATGAGAAGATGAGATTCATCTTCAATTTCATGAGATTCACAAATAGGGCAGAGTCTGTTAACCCATGGAATTTGATCCTATCTACCAGTTTCAATCTTTAGTTTGTGCCAGATTACCTATCCTAAATTTCACTAGTTCTTTTCTTTCGCTTAGCTCGCTTGTTAGACCTAAATAAGAGGAGGGTGTATAATCATTCTTAAATGTGTTGAAAAATTCTAGTTATTAAAGTGTTGCACGATATAGTATGTTACCAGTATAAAATATACTTTTGTTGCATTAGCCTAACATAATATAATGTTTGATTTTAGTGTTAGTTAAGCACGTAAGATCAAAACAAGGCAAAGTGCAAAATGTAAACATACTTATTACATTAGAATGGAACCATATATATTCCCATGAAAGTTAGTTAGTCAGTGATTGTGTGTAAAACTTATGCGATGAGTCTGCAGGTTGTGAGAATTTGACTGGTAAATTTGCCGGGAGGTGGAAGTTCAGACATTTCTGTTGGGAAAAAAGGAACAAATATAAATTTGTCGGTAACTAGATAAGCTGTTTTAAAAATGCTTGTTTGTTGTTGCTTTGAGGCGATGTTTTACGCCGGGTAACTGCAGAAATTGTTGCGCCCTCATGGTCTTATTTTCATGGTCAATAAGTGGATAGACACGTGAATTTATAGTTTATGCGATGCGTCAACGAGCGAGAGGGGACAATTTGACAATTTGTTATTGTAAAAAAACAAATTGACGACAGTTTTTCACGCGTGTCCTGTTATTGACAGTGAATTTCGTCATAACATTGACAAAGTAGTCTGCGGACAATGTTACACGAAATTGATGATCAATAACAGGACAGACACATGAAAAACTGCATCAATTTGTTAAATGGTCCCGAAAAATTGAGACTGACTCTGCACTGAAGTAGCATTTATTCAGCTGAAACTATAGTTATCTTCGAAGGCCACTAAGTAGGAGAGAAATCTATAGTCTTTAGTTGATTGGAAACTGTGAAAAATAACGGCAATCTTTTCTCATATAATCTAGATTAGTACGCTGATGACAACATAACTTCATCCCTATTGAATTAAGAAGGTAATTTTGTGTTCCGTCAAACCATCTTTAATTAACGATCAGTTTTCGCCCTGGTACCAAACGGTCCTTTTTGATCTCTCTGTAATTTTGTCTCTGATTGCTTGCTCTATATGCATTGAAAGGATCGATCAGACCAAGTGAAAATACAATAAAAAAAATCATGGTGCCCCCTCAAGATCCCTCAGACAGAAAAGGACTCTCCGAGATTTCAGGTATCTTATCACAGAACCAAATATTGACACTATACCCTGTCGCAATGAGGTTATTTTGCGTTGCCTAGCAACCTTACAAGCAAAGTAATGTGGAGCTTAGGCACGGAAATGGAATGGGGCGGGTTCATAAAAAAAAAAAAAAAATTTAAATCTCCCTCGAACATTGATGATACGCTTGATTTTTCAGTGCACAATGTAATTTCCGGCTGTCTTGGTTGCTGCGAAAGCTAAGAAACAAAGAAGAGAACAAAGCTATGATCTGGCTTGTTTTCCTTTCAAACACTTTCCGCTCGTTCGGTTGTTATAATAACGCTGTACTGAACATTGCTTGATGTCCTGGACTCATGCTGGTCTTTCCATAAACATCCAAATAAAGCCCGCATCACTTCGGAGTGATGATTGGGTTTTCTCATTTTTAACAGGTTCACGAATCTCTGATTGCTTTCCCTGCTGGATTGTAGCGACATCCTCGGGACGAAAAACATCAAAAAGGCCGCAAGAAAGGAGATGCCTCCACAAGAGTAAAACGCTCCGGCGTAGTCACCAAATATGTCATACATCCAACCTGCAACGAGCGCGGATCAATGTATCATTTCAATGCACCATTTACAATAAGACAGTTAAGTCGTTAGTTATATAAATTAATATCGTGTTGATTTATGTCCAGACTCTCACAACTAGCACTAAACGTCTATGTGGCGGAAAGAAAAAAAAACAAAGAGAGACAGATAGGCCAAGAAAGAGACAGTCAGACATAGTCACAGGCAGACCACCACAGACAGACACGGACACAGTTACAGACACAGACACAGACACAGACACAGACAGACAGAAAGCTGACGGAAAAAGAGACAGACAGACATACAGGCAGAGGAAGACAGACAAACACAGACACAGGCACAGATTCGAACAGACAGACAGACAGACAGCAAACAGAGAAAGAGACAGACAGGCAGGCAGAGCCTAGGCAGACAAAGAGACAGACAGAGAGACCAATTTGAATCCACACCTGTCGTTTAGCAAACTGGCGATCTATCAAATAATTCATTAGACATGCGTGTGTAGCTTTCCTTCCATTTCAATCAGTCAATTAAAGTTTTTTTTTGATCTTAATTATAATAATATGTTTCTATCTGTAAAATTTAATAATCATTGTCTCGGGACCAACCTCCCGTCATCAATCAGCCAAAAACAAGAAACCTGGAGGTGAGGGTTAATATGGCAAAACCTCGTACATCGTATTAGTAAGACAAGTGAGTGTTGACAAGAATCAGTCAATCACTTTGTTTTGGTCTTACTACAGTTTGAAATTGGCTGAGTAGTCTAATTGTTAAGTAATTGGTTTGGTTTTGGTCTTGGTTTTGGTTTTTTGACTCTCAGCTGAAAACCGCTCTAACGATGCACCATTCTGGTTTAAGATTAAAGATATTGCCAAATAAGTCCCGTACCTGCAATAGGTGGTCCAAGAAACATCGGAAACGCCATAACTGTGAAGGCACTCCCCAGAGCGTACGACATTTTTTCTGCGCCAACGATGTCACTGGAAACTAGCGGAATCAACAGGATGAAGCATGCTTCAAAAAACCCGAAGGTTACAGCATAAGCAGTCAGTCCTCCGTAACCCGTTGCCAAGGTAACCAAGAAGGAGCATAACCCGATTGCAAACACACCCATCTGATACATGCGAACTCGGTTGACGCAGGAGAGATCTGCCATTTTGCCGAAAAACAGTCGGCCAACTGTCGACGCTACCGACAAGTAACCGATCAGAAACGAAGCGTCTGTCGGAGAAACACCAAGATCTTCGGCGTGCCTGACCTTGATTTAAAACAAATAATCATAAAATAAAGATTGATCGGCTTCTATGATACCTCTATCTACAACACAGGCTCGATTTCCGCCGCTCTCAGCTTCGAGCCTATCTAAAACATAATTGTAAAAAATAAAAATATCCGGTTTTTATCCCTCCCATGACGTACATTAAAACCTGTTAGGGGTGATTTTGTCCGCGACATTTCAAATTACCCAACAATTCTAGAACTCAGATCGCATGTGTGCACGTTATGGGGAGCACCTTTATACCAATGGTTATAAAGCCCTCGATGCTGTTAAGACTTTTTAATTTGGTTTAAGACTACAACAACCAATTTCCTAGAGAAATTTAAATTTATCGACGATCTAAGCGTGTATAAACCATACTAAGCCAAACGTTTTTATCTGTCTGTAAAAATTGGTAAAAAAAATCATAAGATACGTGGCACTATGACGATAAACTAAACGTAAGGCTGAAAAGCTCTTGAAAATGTCACATAGAGAAAATTAGATGTTTTCGGTTCGGTCCGCTTTCAGTATGTGTAAATGAGCCAGCCATGCCTACAAGAGCTTTTCAGCCTTATATTCATTTTCACGTATTGCAGGTAAGCCCAAGTTGTAATCTGTTGTCCTTTACGTGTAAGGAAAACAGTTAACTGCTGGGAACTTATTAGAGGGCCACAAAATTCCTCTGGCTATGTAAGCATTTGCGATTCAAACGTGTATAAAACATAAGCCTTCCGTTTTCATATCTATGGCTATGTTGTAATCTACTGCTCTCCTCTGTAAGGTAAAACAATTAAACAAGGCAATATTTGTTCACTTCTGGGGATAAGAGGTAGACAAGCTAGCAGGAAGGGAGACTTAAAATTAGCAACACGTCAATTTTTTAGTGAAGCAAAACATTTAAAAGTTACCATTCAAAATTCTTACCAGGTGAACGAATGGCACAAAATAGCCAAGCTGAAATGTCGCTAAGGATGCTATCCAGATCACGTATCCTTTGTTCTTAAATATGCTGCAGTCGAAAAGCCTCTTCGCCTCTCCCCCCTCAGTCCTGCTATTGTACTGAGAATACTTGGCGGGAACAGGTCGGAACGTCGCTCCACATAATATAACAAGGCTAAAAATTCCCGCCACAATTCGAAACGTATTCGCCACGCCGAAACGTAGAAAGAGCACTTGGACGACTGGGCCAATCACAAGCGTCCCAACTCCACTTCCAGCCGTTACAAGGCCATTTACGACCGCAATTCGCCTCTTGAAGTACTTCGATAGTACTATTATGGTGGGAAAGTAGCACAAGCTTGTCCCAGAGCCAAACATCAAGCCGTAGGTTAGATACAACGGAAGGAGACTGGTAACTAATGAAGACAGCAGCAGTCCTGCTATGCAGATCAGACCCCCGCATATGGTGACAATTCTACAACCGAGTCTTTCGCACAGGGAGGTGACAAGGGGACCGAGCAAAAACATAATGCCAGTGGCAAGGGAGCCGACCCATGCTAAAAAAAAAATGTAACAAGTGCAATAGTTAGCTTTTTAACATCTAAATTCTATTTTTGTCTCATTCTAGATAGACGCGCTTTATAATTACAGGTTAACCTCTCCCCAGGTCTACAGCGGACACTGAAGGCCGAGACCCGCATGTCCGTATTAGTCGTAATATTAGTTTTACTTGCTGAGAGCAATTTTAGTACACTAAAGAAAAAGAGAAAAGACTCCGATACAGTTTGCTGAGGAGTGTTTTCGATCGCAGACATGACAATCAAAATTTTATCCGCAGTAATAACGATTTTATATAATAGAACAGTGGGTAGGTATAGTTATAGGTAAAAGAATTTTCAAAAATCACGAATCATGACTATTGGAATGAAATAAAGAAGCCTAAGTCGTGTATTAAACTGTGATAAAACACGGCCGGCATTTGAGAACACGAGGAGAGTGTTTTCTACATTTCTCTAGTGTTCTCAAATGTCCGGAGTGTTTTATCACAGTGTAATACATGGCTTAGGCTTCTTCATTTTCTTTATGGTATGGAGGTAATGCGGCGAAAAACAATAAAACACGCTTTTTCTATGGTTTTCTGATAAAACATGGGTTTTTGACCAATCAGAGCGCGCGCAGGGTCCTATCTATAATATAATCATTTGTAAAAAAATCACGAACGCGCGGGCGCATATATTTGCACTGCCTGCGCTCAGCCGATCACAATGAAGTAATTGTCTCAGTCATAAATAAGATCTTTAAGTTGTTTGTCTGTTTTGAAATGGTATCTTTTGGCCTGGCGCCTGAGTCAATTCCAAATTGGAATCCCTCAGGGGTTAAACTCAAATTATCTGAGCAGTATAACTTTGTGTTATTAAACTTTGGAATTCCCCCTGGGGAAATATCGGGAATTTAGTCCCTGCTTGAGACTAAAGAGTTCAAAGCAGAAGTGACAGAAAGGGAATATGACACGAACCTGTAGCTCCTCTTTGAGATTTTAATTCCTTTACGAGCTCCGTGTAAACAATTCCTGCCGTGTTTTGCATTCCGAGCGCAATAAACTGAACGAGGAATGCGCCGAGACAGACAACCCAACCCCACCCTCCATCGGGATGAGTTTTGACGACAATGTGAAACTGACGAGCGTTCGAGTCAGTCAAACCGCTGTCTGACGGGTTTCCACTGCGACTGTCGGTGAAACCTGTTTTCGTGATCTCCGCGCAGTCGCAGGTGGTACCAGTTTCCACGTCACTCAAACGAGATGTCTTCCTGGGTGATCGCGAGCTATTGTTCTTCGTCTTAGATGCTGTAGTCATGGGGATCGCCATATCCGACGTTTCTGGAAAAATTAGGGGTACGCTATGAAATAAGCAACTTATTTCATCCTTGTTGTTTGCCGCGCTTTGTCCTCTGATATTAGAAACTTCTTGTGTTCCAATTGCGAACAATGATTGTTCATCAAGTACTGAATCTCTTTCGATGCCTGAAGTCGCCAGATTTGTGAATTGCGGTTCTTCAATTCCGGCGTCCACAGTTCTTCGTGCTCGTCGAGGTATTTCGTTCTCCAGCTGTAGCACCTCATTTATGAGTCGCAGAGTATCATATACAATGTCGACAGCCTTCTGGTCTACGGCGGATATACTCAGCCCGCTTTGCTGTAGGAAACAATTTTCCTGTGACGTCCCCAGTGAGCGACACTCTGTAAATGATTTTGTCCCGCTTAACAATGACAGTTCCTTCCCTATGAAAACTGCACTCCGTATTCCTCGTGCTATTTTGTCCTCTTCATCTAATGTCCCCTTGGTTGTGTCCACATTTGTGTCACTATCCGTTTGATTAAGCAAGGAACCCTTTGTTGCATTTGGCACGGCTTCCAGTGCGTTAGAATCATCTTTTGAAAACTCATTATGTGAAATATCACCTTTTATATTGGATGAATCA